CCCCCCCCCCCCCCCCCCCCCACACACACACACACATAAGTGTGGCTTGCTCCTTCCTGCATGTGTGTTTCCTCCGTGTCCGCGCGTGTGTGTCTGGTCTGCGTGCAGGTCACATCGACTTCACTATCGAGGTCGAGCGCGCCTTGTCAGTGCTGGATGGGGCGGTGCTCGTGGTGTGTGGGGTGTCTGGGGTGCAGTCACAGACACTCACCGTCGACAGGCAAATGAGAAGGTCAGCTCTACGCTGCAGGCCAGGGCATCGAGATCATGGCGAATAGAAGGGGTGCGGTGTGGTGCGCTGTGGACACACACATGCAGGTACAACGTTCCCCGAGTGGTCTTCATCAACAAGCTCGACCGCGACGGCGCTGACCCCCCGCGATGCCTAAACATGCTACGGAACAAACTCGGACTCAGAACATGCCCCATACAGGTCTCCATCCATCCATCCATCCATCCATCTGTGTGTGTGCTTGTAGGTGCCAATGGGTCTCGAGAGCCGCCACAGGGGTGTGATAGATGTCATCGACAGGAAGGCCTACGCCTTCGATGGTTACAAGGGCAGCGAGCGGACGGAAATCGACGTTCCCCCCGAGTTCGCCGAACAAGTGGAGGTCAGTCGGTCAGTCCGTCTTTGCGTCTGGTTCTTTCCACTGCCACGTGTGTGTGCGGTTGCGGTTCTGCAGGTCACCCGCGCAGAGCTGCTGGAGACGCTGGCAGACCTCGATGACGAATTCGCCGAACACTACCTAGAACGTAACACAGAGAAGAGAGAGCCATCCATCCAATCATCCGTCCAGCTGTCCGTCGTGTGTGTGTCAGACGAGGCCGCATCTTCCCCCGAGGCCATCCACGCTGCTGTGAGGCGGCAGACCATCCAGCGCACCTTCTCGCCAATGCTGATGGGCAGCGCATACAAGAACAAGGGCGTGCAGAACCTGTTGGATGCCGTGTGCAGATACCTCCCCAACCCAAGTGACAAGCGTGATATATGGGGGCGGGGCGGCTGTCGCGTGTCTATCCGTGCAGTGTGTGTGGTGTGGTGTGGTGTGGTGGGTGACTGCAGCTGAGGTGCGAAATGTTGCGTTAGATCAGGACAACGATGAGGAGACGGTGGAGCTGTCGTGCGACCCCAAGAAGCCGCTCGTGGCCCTCGCGTTCAAAATACAAGTACACACACATTCACAGACACACAGAGACACAGAGGAAGATGGAGAGAGAGACACACCACAAGCAAGCAACGGAACAAACGCGCCGCACCCATCTCTCTCTCTCCCTCTCTCCGTGTCCGTGTGTCTGTCTGTCTGTCTGTCTGCCAGGATCTGCCCACGGGCCAGCTGACGTACATGCGCCTCTACCAAGGCAAGCTACAGAAGGGCATGAGCATCACCAACATGACCACCCAGAAGAAGCACCCCATCAAGCGCATCTTTCGAATGCACTCCAACGAAATGCGACCCGTCGACACCGCCGCGGCAGGCGACATCGTCGCCCTAGGTGGGCTGGAGGTCGCCAGCGGCACCACCTTCACCGACGGCCGGCTGCGCTACACCATGACGACCATGTACGTGCCGCCCCCTGTCATGAGCCTGGCGATAAAGGTGTCAACACGGGGCGAGATGGACCGCTTCTCCAAGGCGATTGGGAAGTTCCAGAGGGAAGACCCGACTTTTCATGTGCACACGGACGAGGAGAGCAAGGAGATCATTATGAGTGGTCAGCCAGTCAGCAGCCATGTCGGTCGGTCGATGGCGTGGCGTCCATCTCTCTCTCTCTCTGGGTGCAGGGATGGGGGAGCTTCACCTTGAGATCTACGCCGAGCGAATGAGGAGGGAATACAACATCGCTGTCGAGACAGGTCGGTCCGTCCGTCTGTGTACGCTCTGCGCTTTTTGTGTCGATCTCTCTCTGTGTGTCGTGTGTCAGGTGCGCCCAAGGTGAATTTTCGCGAGACCATCACCACCAAGTGTGACTACGACTACACACACAAGCGACAGTCGGGCGGCAGAGGCGAATACGGAAAGGTACGTGTGTCGCCCAATCTTCCGCAATCGACCGATCGATGCGTGTGAATGGATGAATGGATGGATGGGTGGGTGGGTGGGTGCAGATCATCGGCTACTTCGAGCCGATTCCCGAGGAGGATGCCCCGGACGACGGAGAGGACAGCATCATTTTCGAGTCACAACTGGTCAGTCAGTCAGTTAGTCAGCTCAGCTCAGCTCAGCTAAGCAGCAGTGCTGTCCCTCCATCCATCGCCGGCTTGTATGCATCTTTGTTGGCCTGCATTCAACTCAACCCAGATGGGCAACGACATTCCCCCCAGCTACATCCCCTCAATCGAGAAGGGCTTCAGGGAATGCGCCAGAAAGGTGAGTGAGAGAATGGGCGCGATCAGATGGTGTCACCCAAACCCACACCCACACCCACGCACACGCACCCCTCTGTGTGTGTGCTGAGCTGACAGGGTCTGCTGTCCGGCCACCCCTTGATCAACACCAAGTTCGTGGTGCACGACGGCAAGGCCCACGAGGTCGATTCCAGCGACCAGGCTTTCAGGAACGCGGCGGAAGGCGCCTTCAGGTGAACGAACCGCCCTGCCGCTCCTCGTGTTGTGCGCACCCACACCTCTCTCTGTGTGCGTTGCGTTTGTGTGTAGGAATTTCTACATGGATGCTGGTCCGGTGATTCTGGAGCCCATCATGGCTGTCGAGGTCACCGTGCCGGCGGACCAACAGGTCAGGCCAGGCAGGGAGGGAGGGAGAGGGAGGGAGGGAGGGAGGGAAAGAACCCCACACAACACAACACAACACAACACGACACAACACAACACACACGCACTAGGCTGCTAAATGTGTGTCTTGTGTGTGTGTGTGTGTGTGAGTAGGCAGTGGCAGTGACGAGCATCACGCGGCGGAAAGGCAGCGTGACCAACACCAGCCAAAGGGTCAGCCAGTGACTTAATCAAGCTTCGTCTTTGCCAACCATCTGTGCTGTGCTGTGCTGTGCTGTGCTGTGCGTGTGTGAATGAATGTACGTGAATCGAATCTGCCGCATCCATCGCTGTGGCCACCAGGCCGAGACGGTCACCGTCCAGGCGGAGGTCGGCCTGAAGGACATGTTCGGCTACACCGCCGACATTCGATCTTTCACACAGGTCAATGAGGACTCCACACACACACACACACACACGCGCGCGCGCACACCCACATCCGTGTCTGTCTGTCTGTCTGTGTGAGCAGGGCCAGGGCGAGTACACGATGGAGTTCCTCTGCTACCGACAGATGGGCGGCAGTGAGCAGGAGGAGGTCGTCAACAAGTATCAGGAGCAGAGACTCGCTGAACTCAAGGCCAGGAGGGGCAGATAGATAGACAATCAGACGAGACAGACAGCAGAGGCCTGGCGTGATGCGACTTGCCATTCGATGACGGCAGCCAACATCGCGCCGAAGGGCTCGAGCTAATCCCTCTGATGCGCGGTGGGAGCTGATGTCGTTTGGTGAGGAAAGACAGTCAGGCAAGTCAAGTCCCACACCGAATCAGATTACGGTTGCGTGTGGCCACCTGTGCGTGAGACTGTGTGGGTGAGTGCCTTCCAAGAGGGCACCTTTGCGCGTCACGTGGAGGGTGCAATGCCTTGGGAGGGTGTGCAGTCAGTACCTGATGTATAGCTATAGCTAGAGCATATGCATGTGAGGGTAGTTATTTAATGAACAACTAACCGGCATACCGAAATGAATGCGATGCGCCTTCTTTCTCGGCACGGATTGCGGATGATTGCAATGATGGTAAGGTAATGCAAGGCTTTGCCTGCAGGGGATGGCCGAGACGAAGGCTGCACAACGAGCTTGCCCGCTTCCATGCTCCCAGCACTACCCGCCGAGACAAAACCTTATGCCCTTCCTCGCCGCATCCTGGCACACCTTGTAGCCAACGGCTTGCATGCAGATCGGCCTTTTCCTGTGCGAGAGGGAGAGAGAGGCACCGAACAAGCCCACAGCGACGCTCACACCCTTCCCCTCTCACCTTCCCCCCTCCGCCACATACGACCTAAAACGATGACGCGCTCCCTCTCGGCGCTGCTGGTGTCCCACCTCGGCCTGCTCTCCTTCTCCCTCGCCCAGATCCACCCGCCCCCCATTTCCAAGCAAGACCACGCACATTTCAAGCAGGACCACGCACACTTCACCAAGACGGGCGGACCCCTCAGCAAACCCAGCAGACCCGCAACAGCGCCGCTGCATAGCCATGCCCGTCCCACTGGCGGCGGTGGCAAGGGTTCCATCGTGACTCCCTCCAAGACCAAGACAGGCAGCCCGCTCAGCCGCGGCCCGCCCCCCGGCGGCCACGGTGCCCCTCTCGATGCGGCAGCCTCACATGCCGGTGTCAGTGCGGCGGCCGGCCGCGTGGCTGAGCGGCCTCATGCAACCGCATCAGGGCTCGTTTCCGGCTGGACCGACATGGTGCCCGGCACGTCCGCTCGAGGGCCGTATCGCGGTGGCGATGCCGGCAACGCCCCTGCGGCGTTGGCTGCAGCCGCCGCCAGCAGAGGAGGTCGATCTCCCCTGCCCGCTCGGGGCAACTCCACCGAAGGCCTGCCGACGGGCTGGACGGAGCCTGCCCCGGGGGATGACGGCCCGCCCGAGATGACCGACGCAGTGATCTTCCGGGGCAATTCGCCGCGGAGCCAGGGTGCGCCGGCGTGTGCCTTGGTTGACTCGCATGACGTGATGGAGGTGCCTGTGGGCGGGCTGGTGCATTTCAACCTGACGGTCAAGTGCCCGGGGGTATCGGCGCCCCTGAACGACACTTTCGAAGGGGTGCGGGCGGAGGTGCTCGAGTGGGACGGGCTGCTCCACGATGAGTGGGAGATCGGCATGGGACGCGACAACGAGACTCCCGTATTGCTCAAGGAACTCGGTATGACTGCGCGCGCGTGTCCGGCAGCATGTGTGTGCCGATGTGTCCATGTGTCCATGTGTGTGGGGTGTGGGGTGCAGTTGAGGAGTCGATGCCGCCGATGCTGGAGTTCTACAACCTCCACTGGAGCCCGTCGCGGCACAAGAGCGGCATGTTCCAGGTCACCGGCAAGATAGAGGGGTACGACCGAATCAACGTCTACCACCCTCCCACCAAACGCACCTACTGGGTCCCAGGTAGGTACCTACAGCTGTCATCCTCATCCCCACACCCTTCTACCGTGCCACACCCATCATCTGCCATCCCCCTGTCCTGTATGTCAGCTGCTGGTCGGTTCACCGTCTCGCTGTCCTACGACCTGTTGGCCATCAGTGTGACCGTTGCAGTGCTGCCCTCCCAGCCGACAGTCAACCTGACAGGGTGGCACGGCTGGGGCTACAACTACAGCAAAGCCCTGGAGCCCGCCATCGACCAGGGCATGTACCGCCTCGAGACACACGACGACGACGAGGACCTGCAGGAGATCCGTGTGGGTGACCTCTTCACCAGGGAGCTGCGGATCGTGCGCAAGGGTAACGACAGCAGTAAGGAAGACTGGGTGGAGACCGAGGAGAACCCGCTGGTGGACATCATCCCCAGGGCCATCTGGGTGGCCAACGCCGTGACGGCGGGGCACTTCAGCAACAGGACCCTCAACAGGTACGCAACGCAAGAGGGTGTGTGGGTGTGTGCGTGTCCTGTCGTGTGGATGATGTGTGTGTGACATCTGTGTGTCAGGTTCAATTGGCTGCACGACCCGTTCATCGGTCCGAAGATGGGCTTCCTGGTGGAGGAGAAGCGCAGCGAGAAGCGCGTGGCGGGGGGGCTGCTCATCGGGCGGCGCTTCCAGTGGCGGCCCACACCGGACGAAGCGGGCTCACAGGTGCGCCATGGGCGTCGTGTCTTCTACACAGACAGTATCTATGTGTGACTCCTTATTCAAATTTGGTGGGTGCAGATGGCGATCTGCTTTGTGGTCCACGACCCCTACAATCTGTATGCCCCCGGCACAACCATGTTCTACGAGAGCAACCCCCTCCCAGACGACACCGCCACGCTCCCGCCCTCACTCCTCCCGCCCACATCGCCTTTCACACTGTAAAACAGCGCGCAAACAAACCACACACATAGACGAGACGACAGAGAGAGACACAGCTTGCTAATGCTTCCGCTCCTCTGTCTGTCTGTCTGTCTGTCTGTCTGTCAGCCGTTCGCGCGCCCCCGAGTATGCGCAGTGCGTCAACGTGCGCGTCAAGCACCCCGAGCAGTTCCAGGCCTTCCTCAGCCAACGCAGCAAAGGCAACGAGGCCTAGCAGCAGCAGCAGCAGCAGCACCCACTGACTGACTGACTGACTGATACACACTTACACACACACATCATAGATAGCGTAGATATGATGCCTTCATACAGTGGCAACCATGGATAGGATGGCGATATGTAATATAGATGTGTGTGTGGATGTGTGTGTGTGTGCTGATACCCTTCCCCTCCCCTCCCCCCCCTTCCCTTCCCTTCCCTCCCCTCCCCTCCCCCCTCCCCTTCCCTTATTCTCTAGGCCGACTAATTCAGGTGTGTGTGCGAGCGTGTCACTTAGGTAAGGGGGAGGGAGGGAGGGAGGCTGACAGGAATGGATGTGTGATGCGTGACAATGGCGTGTGTGAAGAGGTGGGTTTATGGGGGGAGGGGGTGGTGGTGGGTGGTGGGTGCGGCCCCAAAGCGGGAACCGACCGCGCCTGCCTTGGTGCTGTGCCGTCCGTGACGTGAGACTGTGGGGTGTGGGGTGTGAGGTGCATGTGTGCAGCGAGCGTGTGCCGAGAGATGATTCACTCACTTCGGCGGGCCTCCTGTGTCTGTCTCAATATATTGTGTGCATGTTTATAGTGTGTCTGTCTGTCTGTCTGTTCGTAGCATTTCAGAGGTGTCTGCCGCGTACATATTACTTACACACGTAAGGATGGATGGATGGATGGCGGGCTGGCTGGCTGGCTGCTGGCCTCTTTTATCCTCTCTCGTGTGACGGTGCTGCCTTGATATTATTGCCTCGACTACGTGTCTGTGCAGAGAAGAGACGTGTGTGCAGCATGCGTGTTGTGATCATGACGAGAGAGGCGCGGATGGATGGATGGATCATTTATGGCTTGCCTCCCTGGTGCCTGCGAGGGTGAGGTCATGTAAGTCTAACCGTACGTGTATGTGGCTGCTTGTACACGTAGCTAGCTGGGTTTGGTGTGTGGCCAGCCCAGCCCATTTGTGTGGTGTGTTGCCCGCCATGTGGTGAATGCTTGTAGGAGAAAGACAGACAGACCCGTTGAATGAACCACATCAACAGGTGTTAAGTCTTACGTCAAACCCGCCAGCCTGCCAACCGAACCGTCACTCATCGAATGAAAGCATTCAAGAGCATGACTCAGTCATGGTGTCCGTCCGTCCGTTGCGTGCAGCAAGCCATCAATCAGGTGGTCACCAGCAGCCGTTAATTGTGGTAGGGTCACACCCACTGTGAGTGCGATCCATCCATCCCGTCAACGACTCCCCACCTCCCTCTCTCCCGCACGCACCATCCACACACGCACACACCGACGACGATAAACCGACAGGCAGGCAGGCAGACAGACGGACAAGACAGACAGACTGGCAGACAAACACCACCATGATCACTGCTTCCTTGCTCATGCCATGCCACCATCCATGAGCTCTGAGCGGTGTGTATGTAATCACCCGTCTAGTCTATCAGTCAGTAAGTAGCACATCAGCACCACCACACTACACGCCACGGGACACATCTCTCTCCTCTCCTCTCCCAGCAGACAGCTGGCCTCTGTGGTTCTCATATATTCGTGCTGATGCTCTCCCTTGTGCGACCTACCTCGACACGGTCCTTTCACAGACATGCCAAAACAAGTCGCAAAAGAAGTAGCGTAGCGTCAGACGAACATTGCAAACCAGCGGCCACACAACACGCAACTCATCATCTTGATTGAATCATGACACCAACCAACCCAGATGTGGTCGTCCTTCGTGCGATGTGCCGCCCGCCCAGCCACCTCCCCTCCACCAGCACTGTCCTTCCTTCCACAGACATGTCATCTCATGCCACCACAACGTGGGGGACCAACCCGGCCCGTCAACCAACGACACGAATGAAACAAACCAGCACACAACACATCATCACATCACATGAGCGAAACGTCGATCGATAAAAGGCCAGTGCAGTCAGTGCATTCGTCCGTCCGTCCGTCATCCGTGTCTGTCTGTCGTGTCAGTCAATCAGTAAGTAAAAAGACACATCGATTCGATGGATTCGATGGGATGAAGGAATGCATGAATCCGTGAGTGAATGGAATGAGGCGTGCCATACGATGCACTTTGTCCGTCGCACACACATACACCCTCTGCGCGACTGCCTGCCTGCCTGCCTACGTACGCAAGAACGTTCTGTGCCGTGCCGTACTGTGCCGTGCAGCCAGCCAGCCAGCCAGCCCGCAGCAGCCCCGCCGCGTACACAGTAGACAGCAAGGGCCGACTAAAACACAACCAGCCCCCACAACCACTATCGTCAGAGTAAAACCCCCAAACACCCCCAAAGACACTTACAGCAAGTGGGTCAAGGCGAGAGGGAGGCAGTGAGGGAAGCCAGTAGCGATTGCAGGAGGGAGGCAGGGAGGGAGGCAGCGACACGGCAGGGAGGCAGGAAGGGAGGCAGGCGAGAGAGAGTGAGGGCCGACAAAAAGGCGGGGCAGGCCTCACTGTCCTCATGTATGTGTGTATACGTGTATGTGCGACTCATCCAGTGTAGCAGGTAGGTAAACCGTCAACAAGAGAGAGAGGGGGAGGGGGGAAGTACAAACAGACGGCCGGCCGGCAAGTAGACAGGCTGGCGTGTCGTGTGCACATGCGATGAAAACAGCTGGTACCAGCAGCCAACCAGCCAGGACGACCGACCAACCCCCCTCTCCCTCTCTCTGCGATGAAAAACGACAGAAGGTACCAATCCGGTCCAGCATCAATCATTACGATCCTATGTTATGCTATCACCAATCCAGCGATCCATCACTTGCTCCCTCCCTCCCCCTCCCCCACGTCAAAACCAACACACGCACCGTCCTGCGGCCCAGCCACATGTGCGTGCGCAGCTGCTGCATCCTGCTGCTGGTCCAGGTAAAGCAGGATGCTGTCGATCAGCAGCGCCTCCGTCAGGTGCAGGTCCACCTCACCCACCTCGCTCCCACTCTCGGTCGTCCGCTCGTCGTCAGAGTGGCTCTCCTCCTCTGACGGACCGCCGCTGCCCTTCTCATCTCCACCAGTGTCACCCTTGGCGCACTTGGCAAACACCGGCAGGCTCCACTGCAGCGTGTCGAGCCCCACACCGGCCCCCGAGTCCCACCCCCCGCCGCGTGTGGGTGCGCCGGGCGTCCTGGGGTGGGCCGGGATGTAGTGGAATCGCACGCGGACGGGGGTCGGTTCGGACACGATCTCCCGGTCGGGGAGGGGGGGAGGGGAGCCGTGGACGGCGGTCTCTTGGAACTGGAACCGTTTGACGGTCTCCTGCATGATGGTGTCGTCGATGACCTCATTGTCAGTCAGGTCCGAGCACTCGGTGACCTCGCTGGTGCTGACCGATGAGGAGCTCGGGGAGGTGTCGTGCGTGTTGGCCATCTGCGTGGGCGTGGGCGTGCGCCGCCGGCCGCTGTCACCGCCACCACCACCACCACTACCACTACCACTGTTGTCACTCGACCACTCACGGCGCTCGTACACGCCCGCACCGCTGGGCTTGTTGTCTTGTTGCGTTGATGCGATAGCATTGTTGCCATTGCCATTGCCATTGTCATTGTCACTGTCGTCGTCGAAACGAACAGGCGCCGAATGACCCACGCCGTCAGCCAGCCGCTCACACGACCGAGACCCACACAGCCGGAACAGCCGCATCAAGCCGCACTGCTTCCTACCGCCACTGCCACTAGTGCTGCTGCCGACAGAAGAGGCGCTCTTGAGCATCTTCTGCCGACACGTGAACGACCTGCTGATGTGCAGGTGCCGCACATGGGCCACAGTCCGCGCCTGCGCACGGACATGCTTGAGCCATCCGGCGATCGGCTGGTGGTTGTGCTGATGCTCCGATCCCGTCATGAGCGATGATCCGCTGCTGGACGGCCGGCTGCCGATGGTGGTTGAGCGTGCGGGGGAGAAGGGGGGGCTGCAGGTGGGCGTGCCGTCCTCGGCGGAGTCGCCGTGAGGGGTGTCGCTAAGTGAGTTCGCGTCGAAGTAGGGGTCGCTGAGGGACTTGTGGCATGTCGGCGTCGCCAGAGGGGTGAGATGTGTCTCGTCTATCTCCCAAATCACCGGCAGCACCCGCCTGCACGCAACACACGCAAAGACAGAGGAATGCCACGTGCCCGTCGCCATGAATCTTTCGCCTCGCCTTTTGACGGCTTACGGGAGTTCCGAGAGGTCTCTCTTGACGCATAGAGGCCCGTCTGACTCCGCGCGTCTGAACAGACGCCTGCGATTCCACAAAGGCGACAGATCCATCGCCGAGAGCACTCAGGTCATCGGGACATGCAGAGAACGAAAAATGAGTAAGCTGTCTTCGCTCGCGTCGAGGCAGCCACGTGAGTGTGTCTTTTCTGGCTGTCTTCTGTTGTTCTGTCCCTGCGAAATCAGAAGCCTGAGACCTCCAGCTCGCACAACGGTGCGATCCTGGAGAAAAGGTAGGAGAAAACAGAGAGGGAAAACAGGTGAGGAATCCACGGTGAGCGAGAAGGTGTGTTGAGCTATCGACTTGTTTCTTTCAGGAACTCCTGGTCTGACTGACCTGCTCCTGTTGCTTGATGTGATGATGCTCTCCGAGGCGTCTGGAGGCACTGGCTTGCCCAAGAAGGGCAGGAAGAAGCAGCTGAAGCAGAAGAAAACCTCGGACACCCACATCGCCCCTGTGGAAGTGTTGGCGAGGCAACAGACCGACTCCCCCGTCCACCATCGCAACAGAGCCACCCACTGGCGGGAATGGGACTTTCTCCGCACCCACAGCCACGGCAATCGCGACAGCATGACCTCTGACGACACACAGGCCAGCCTACGACAGGCACTGAGTGCACCCTCTTCGCCGCAAAACCGGTTGCTGCGTGCGCTGCTGCTGCGGTTTTTCCCCAATTTTATGACTGAGGAGAGGCGGGAGGGACGGAAGAGGGAGAAGGCGCACGAGGGCAAGGAGGAATGAATGGGGGACTGATCTCTCGGTGGGCGGGTGTGTATAGATGTAGGCAGGCAGGCAGGCAGGCAGACAGTCGATTGGTGGCCGTGCTGATTGACAGCAGCTTCTCTCTCTCTGGCTGAGTTTTCCCACCATGCACACACACACGAATGACTGTGGGTCGATCCATCTCTCTCTTTTGACGACTGCGTGCATACGCAGCGCACACACACTTACACTGACGAGCACACACACATGCTTTGTGCGTGTGTCTTTTTCGTTGTTACACGTGGCTAGCTCGGCGTTCCGTTGCTCTATCTGTCACGTGTAATCGTAACTGAGGTGTGTGACGGGTCGATGTGATGACGGTTTTGTTGTCGGTCTTGTGTTCATGTGTCTGTGTGTCTATGTGAATTGATGTGTGTATCTCTGTGTATAAACCGATCGATTGTCTGGCTGGCCGGAAATGATGGTGGCCTAATTTGGCGCAAAGGGGGGGACGGGGCCTCTGCGCGAGTACATGTGACGGACGGGTGCGGTGACGGACCAGGTGTTTCTTTCTACGAGCAGACGTCCGTGTGTTCAGATCAGACAGAGAGACTGTACGTTGACTGATGCGTGACGTCTGTGTTCAGCCACTGACTGATGGATGGATAGGTGCCATGTTGGTCTCTGCGCTTTGCGTAGTGCTGCAGCTGCCGACGAGTGTCTCGTTGGCGGTCAGGTCGCTGCCACGGACATTCGTCATCACCTGCAGTGGCTGAGCAATGAGCAGGGACCAAAGGTACTCACCGAGGGAAGGCAAGGCGTTGAGCTGAACCGCTGATCGACTCATTTATCGAGAGCGTACCGTATGTCATCATCTGTCGACCATATGCATCAAACAAAAGTCATGTTCCAAGCAGCCCCAAAAATATGACCGATCATCGAGTAATCTCTTCTATGCTTAATTGGCACAAGA